AAGCTTTGTTAGAACATTGCAAAGCATTAATTCACATTTTTAAAAGCAAATAAAAAGAAACAGATTTTATAGTATTTATATATATGATAGGTTTCAACAAAGAATACATCTATAGAATTTTTAAAGTTATATTTATTTTCAGTTTGAGGAAACAGCTTAGTTTAATAACACTAAAATTTTAAGAAATAGTCTAAGAAATCCCAGCCTTTAAATATATAATATAAATACATACAGTAATAAATAAAATGATAAATGCATTTTAATTCAGCAGTGTAAAATACAGAATATTTCCACACCATCTTGCATTTGATTTTGTTCTTATATTTTGGTATGCTTTTTGTTAGAAATACATGACTAACACTCCTATATCATTAAGCTTTTTATTGAAAAAAATATTATTGCATTGAACTACAGTCCAAGTAATTTATTGAATAACCTAAAAAAAGCTGCTTTGCATGTACAATAGTGCAATTTACTTAGCCACAGTATAGTTTAAAAAGACAATTTATACAGAAAATGCAACACAAAATTATTGGTTTATGTGTCATATTGCCAGAGGATCACCAAGTTTAATTACAAATTAAGTACTTTAAATAGAATTGAGTAAGATGGGAATTTGCTTTAAACAGCTACACAACTAATTTACATTGTCAACTATTTTATCTCACATATGGAAGGAACTAACAATTTTGCTTGGGGATAAGAAACTTCTTGAAGTTATTGTTTCAATATGTGAATATGTTTTTGAAAACACTATTTTCAACAAAGATCAAGATCTACAATTAAAGACTAAAGAGTATATTTATTTAAAACACACACAGATTCACACTTACATGTGCACTCATACATATTTTAAGTTTTCCAATTTGCCTGATTTTATTTTAATGTTTCTCATGAGATATTCTTACTCTTGCTAATTAAGAAAAATGGGGGGTTGCAAAAAGAGGAAGTGACTTTGAGAAAAGAATTTAAAAAGTGGATTGGGAGCTCTCCCTCCTATATATAGCTCCACAGAATGAAAATGACCCTTTGGCTTATCTTTCTAATATTGGCTTATTCTAAACCTAACCCATTCAGCTGCTGCTTCCATTTTAATATAGCTTAATCCAAAAATACAACAATCACCTTCAATGTCTACCTAATAGAAGTGGATAATATTTTTGCTGGAATGAAATGATAACCTTGGAAAATCCTCCAGACCCAGGCTTATTGACAGGAGAACTTGTATTTTAGTAGGAAATTCTCATCTTAGTGAAGTGGTTTCAGTCTGAAACACAAAGGGCAACTATCTGTTTTCCTGACTATTATTGTGTGGAACTAGTCACTCACATGCTTTTTAATAATGTTTCTATTTGCCAATGAGAGCACATTTTCCTTCAGAATTTCATCTAATTTAAAGAATCAAAACTAAACCTTTTCATGAGCTTTGCTGGGCCAGAGATAAGCACTAGGTTCATTTTGCCCCTAACTGTCTTATCTGCATACATTGATGTGTAAGATTTGAATCCTTTAAATTGTGTTTTTACAAAACTGGATCTGATATTTACATTTATTTTTTTCAGAACGTTAATTATGTTTCTGAAAACTCAGAAACTCTGAAAATGTGGAGAACTTTTCAGGGATGATTAAGAAATGTGCTACTGATTTGAGATGAGCAGCAGTATTATTTCACCACTAAGGAGTTAACTATCCGCATATCCTGGGGTGGAGGGGGGGGATCTGGACGTTTCATTCATACACATGTAGAATACTTGAATACCAAGCAGTATCCTAATGGGTAGAGCCATCTCCATATTTCCAATTATTGTTTCAAATCATTTGAAGTACATTTCAAATGATTTGAAATGCTTAAAAGTATGGTGGTAAAATTCAGAAAGCTGTGCTGCTGCCAGCATTTGGAGCTATGTAAGTAATAACTTCATGCATTAAGGAGATAGTCAGATTCAGCAATAGAATCCTGAGTAATTGTACTGGTTAAGTGTTTCATTTAACAGAAACATTTTACAGAATTAGTTTCTTTAAGTATATTTCCATTTAGAGATAACAGAGAGATTCCATTAAGTCCTGGCAGAAACTAAAGAAAAGGAGTCACTGTTTAAATCCATTTTTGGGAAGTGAAACAAATTTCAAGGGATTTTGTAAAATGTCTACCTAAGCAAAAACTTTGGGAATTGGAGACTTTCTAAATCATTCTCTATATTCTAATCACTTCCAATATTTATAACGTCTTAAAGATAAACCTTAAGTTTACCTTTGCATTTTTATAGGCCCATTGTATTTTTTTCTTGCTGAATTTGGCAGGGAATTATTAAGATGAACTTTCCCACATTTTCAGTTCTTCATACAAAGTATTTATTTTGTTTACCTCGAATCCAATGATACTATCTGATGCTAGACTGGTTCATAATCTGTAAGAAAGACATATAGATAGATAAATGTGTGTTTGTGCATGCATGTCTGTAAAGATTTCACAGTCTTTCTTAAGCATTTAGAGTTTAAGACAGATTTTTTACAAAACTGCCTCCATGAGCCACTTGTGAAACAGTAATCCCATGAAGAGAATTAACCTGTAAATGTCAGGCAATAGTCATAAAATAAATTTAATGCTAAAAGTCACCTGTCAAATAATTATGTAAATGGAGGGAAACACTGCTAAAAAAAATTCCATCACAGTGACAATTTTTTTTATAATTGAACTATTTTAGGGTTCAATATATATTTTCAATACTGTTTATTTTTTTCCCCAGAGTGTGTTTATCTTAAGGTAAAATGGAAAATAAAACAGTGTTTCAGCCTATAGTTACTGATTTGGAAGGAAGTAAGCTGCATAATTGCATATTTCCTCATGTGATGCCACAACTTTTCAAATTTCTCACCTTGGAGTACAAATTATCTTTTATTTAAAGGGAGACGGTTGCTTTCCACATAGTCCAAATTAGTTTGTCCAGTGAACACTTCATCACTGTTAATACAAGATGGAATAGTCACTTCCATGCCATCCATTCATATCAATCTGTCTTTGTTAGTCAAAATTAAGTGCTCAGTAGAGGTGCTCAGGTCTAACCTTATGAGAGTTTAAATTGTCACCAAGGCAATTATAAAAATCAATCAGGCGGTCAGTGTCTATAATAGGACTTCTAGTGAGTTCCTATGATTACTCTATCTTGGCTCTGCATCAGCTTCGTAATTTGCTTTAGGAAATAATTATCCACATTACTTAAAAAAAAAAAAAGCCTGCTAGACCATTTGTCATCCATTTTATAAGAAATATTTCATTTGTCTCACTTCTTTTTGGATTTACTCAATGTTCATCAATGGTCTTTTATAATCATTTTTATGGAATTCCATGCAAGTATAGCTCCTTGCTATTTGATGGTTTTTCTTCATTTCTCCATTCATTTTAAATAAATTAGATTTTGTCACTGTTATATACCAGTCAGAACACTCTTCTCACAAGTTTCGGGTGATATCTTGGAAACTGCAGTTTTTCTTTCTGTTAAAACTTCAAATTTACTTTATCTCCTTTTATTATTTTTCTTCCCTCCACCCTTTCTTTCTCTTTCTCTCTCACCTGTCTCTCCTGAATCAGTGATGTCCTTTCCTACTGTTTACCAGGTATTTAGTATTTAACCTTTCTACTTCATTTTCCTTACCTGTAATGAGGAATGATAATGCTGATTTCAAAATACAGTTGTGAAAATTAAAGAAGATAATGCAAACAAGTGGTTAGGGTACCTCTACCTGAATCACAACAGGCCTTAAGTAAATATAGCTATCTTCCTTTTGAAGCCAAGGCTGAAGAAGTAGAGGAGTTTGCATCTTTGTATAGACAGCATTAGATAAATGATTACCTCCATTTCTGTTAAGTTTGATTTTCTCTGAAACTCATGCTTAAGAACATAAAATAATAAACCTAACTGTAGGATTATGCACCAATATAGATGTATGAAATACAAATTTTGGGGGCAGAAAACCATTTTGAATGAATGTTTGAAATTATTTGCAAAATTACATGGATGGTGATTTTATTCCTCATCATTCATGTTTCATAAATATCTAGTACAAGTGAATAAAACACACCAGATATTTAATAAGATATCCTCAATAAACATGTAAAAACACTGACATTTTCAAACCTTTACCTCTATCCTTACACATGTATTGGCTGAACATAGTAAAATTTTTGAGTAGAAGAATAATAAACATTTTAGTTCCTGTAATATTTGACAGATTGACCAATATATTTAAAAGATTATTCTGAGCACAATTTATTTTGGAGTTTGCATCATCAAACACTAATGATAGCTTGTATATGTTTTTTATACAAAAGTTAAACATTCTTAGTTTTAGATTTTGCTGATTCTTACACTTACAAAATTACCTTGACATAGATTTGTGTGAAATGAAGATAGTTTATTTTTCACAGAAACTCAACAGTATAATCTATAAAGATTGTTTTTCATTAAAGCGTAATTTTCAACCTAAATTAATCAGAAAATGTCTTGTTCTTATTTCCTATGAAAATACAGTAACAGACTACATTAATTTAAAACTTAGTCAATAGTTAACGATAGAAATTACTTTAAATAATTACTTCATTTCACTGACCTTTTATTATCTAACAAATAAGCCAAATCAACACTCATTCATTCGCGCAACAAATACTTAGAACACAGGGCACCACATTTCATCTGATTTTTCTTTTTAATTTTAATGCTCTGCTTGAATGTTTTCTGTTGCATTTTATAACATGTGAGAACCCATCCAAAACAAATCTTTAACCCTTTCCCTCTTCCCTCTACATTTTCATAAAATTATTTAAATTGCCTATTATTTTGGCAAGCTAAAAAATTATTAAAATGCTCTTTGTTTTAATATTAGCAATTCAGTTCATATTTATATATTGGTCACATTTTGAATTGGCAGCAATATTTTAAATCTTACAATAGATAGACTTCTTTAAATATATTATTGTATAGGTAGTGACAACTAAAAAATTATCCACAAGAGGGGCTTTAACACTTATTAGTTCAAGTGTGTGGACACATTTAAGGCCTCTTTCACTTCATTTAACTGTTGCATCTGGCTAGAGCAAGAATGATGGCAAAAATCTTGACCTTGGAATACTGGTTGGATTAAAGGATTCAAGTGGATGATAGAAGTTGTGGCTGGATTTAAGTGAGGGCCGAACAATGTAGGAATAAATGCTGTAGGGGGCAGGGGCTGAAGTGTTATGTGAGATGGGTGGAAGGGGGTAGCAGCTACTAAATGCAGGGGATGACCTGCTAAGAAAGTGGGGTGTGCAGGTATAATGGTTGGAGTCAGAGTCGAAAATGAAATAGGAGTGAAATGTGCCTGTGAAAGAGGATGTAGATGAGCAATAGGGAGGTGACTGTTATGAGAACTTAAGGAAGCAGAAACAGCAAAATGCTGCAGGAACGTGTGGTGGATGGTAGTGATAGAAGTGTGCTGGTGAACTGGAACTGTCTGTACGGTTGAAGCCGGAGAGAAGGCAGTAGGCCCTGCAGCAGGCAAAACTCGAAGATGCTTTGACAGGAGTTGCTTCTGCATATGCTGCTGGGCTTGTAGCTGTAGGATCTTATATTTATCTATTTCGTCAGGAGAAAATGTTATGGGTTGTTGAATTAAAGGGGGAGAGAGAGATTTATGACACACGTCTAATTCGTCTTTGACTTTGTCAGGCTTCTGCATAGTTCTGTCATAGTAAGAGTTTATATTTCCCTCTACATGATTTATATGCATGCTTGCATCCTGTAAGTCTAGATTTATTTGGTCTTCTTTGGTCTCTCTTGAATCAGTAACACCAGTATATCTATTAGATGGAAAAGCACCAGGGAATTCATTTGGTACTGGGTCACAGCATTGAATAAAAGGTTGGATTTCACTAATTAAAGGTTTTGATTGTTCTTTTGTTGTTGGATTCATTTTTATGTTTAGTGACTGAGACTCTGTTACTAGGTGAATTATACCTTTAGAAAGATGGTTATCACAATCAGTGTCTGCTAAAATTGTAAAATTATTTGTCTGTGAGCTTTTGCTTTTGTCTTTCTCCGTAGTCCTTGGAATTGCACTGTCTTGATCATTTCTGCTCTCACTTGCATACTGTATTTTTTCAGACAAAGGCAATGCTTGTCTGTTACAGCCTGATGGTACAAGTTGAATTGTGCATGGGACTTGCGAAGGAGCCTCTAATTCATTTTTACAACTGTTTGAAGAGACCTCAACATTACTTGATTGTTCCTGACATTTCTTGGCTTGTACTCTTTCTAAAAGGCTTTTTGCCGTCAGAGGGCTCCCCTCTCCTTCTGTAATGTTCGATTCTGTAGTTTCTGAAGGGCCACTGGAACAGTTCTTTAGAAGGCAGCTGATGTTCCCGGAGTTATACTTCATGGGCCTGACTTTTCCCAGATCACAAATGTGAGGGCTGCCCAAAGACTCTTGATTTCTCTTGCCTTTATTCAAGTAATAAATTTTCTCCCTTGAGTAAGAGTCCAATCTATCGTGCTGAGTTCCCTGGCAATTAGGTGGTTTTTTACTGCTTCCAGTACAGGAAATCTGTGAGTTAGAATCACAACAGATGATTCTCGTAGATTTTAGCCCTGAAAATTGTTGTTGATTTTTGCCCAGTTTTTGTCTTTCTCTACAGTGACAATATCTACGTTTTGAGTATTTTTCATTTTTAAATGATTCCCACAATTTGCAGTTCCTCTCTTTCTGTGGTTCAGACTGCATTTGACTGCTCTTTGCTATCTCATCAGACAAGTAGAGGCAGTTGTGCTTCAGACATTTCCGTTTGTGCCTTTCAACTGAGTGGTGTTCTCTTTTATAGAAGCAGAGAAAATTACCTCTGCTATTACCATTGAATCTATGACTTGAACAAGTACTTCTCAAGCTAGACATGCTGCTAGGGGATGTGTCCGAAGAGCAAGAATATCTACTCAAAGATGACTTTGGAGAGCATCTCTTGTATCTTCGGTCTCCACATCCAGAAACCTTGTTGGTCATGCTGATGTGGTTACTCTTTAAAATTACACTGAAGTCTTTCCCATGGTCACTGTTACCCCCTACTGTATAACAACTGGACTTGCAGTTGAATTGTCTTTCATCTTCAAATTCCAAATGAGGATTGCAGGGAATCAATTTATTCTTTTTAGTCCTAGAGATGTAGGAAGGACAAGATAGGTCCTCATCTGTATCATTTAGAACTACCTTTCTGCTGCCTTGCCAATGGGCCCTTGAAGCTTCCTTAAGTTCGTTCTCACTATTATTCTTTCCAGCATAATCCTTTAGAGATGTATTGAGGTAAAGAGGCACTTCAGGATTTTTCATTTCCAAATCATTTGCACTAAAAGCATATTCACTCTTATTTGGCTCAGAATCACTGTAGTCCAAATTATATTTCCTCTGGAATTTTTCCCAATCCGGATTAGCTATCATCATCTTTGGTTTCAGATATTGATTATCTTCTTGGATCAATTTTTGTTGGTCTTCGATTACACCTGAGACTTGGCTCTCTCTTTTAGTCTTCACTTCCAAGGACTTCTTACACAATTCTGTTTTTAAGTCCTCTGGATTGTGGTCTTCCTTTGTGTTCCGAGAAAGCTTAAAATCAAAATATAGTGGGTTGCAGCCATAAGAGATACAGGGTTCTGTTTTTGTAAAGAGCAGAAGTTCCGTAGGCCATTGAAGAGTGGTGTGGCCATCCTTGCTTTGAACGTGGAGAAAAGGTAGTGGTTTAGATGCCACATTATGGGTACATGCTTCTCTTACAAGTCTTTGAACATTTTTGCTAACTCTTTCTGTTTTATCTAAAGATTTTTCTCTGTTCTCTGTTCTGGAATTTGGATTCAGATGCACTGTACTCTTTTGTTCACTTGGCTCTGCTGATGAAAACTCATCCAGGCATTCAAATATCCTGGCATCACTATGGTTGTAAATGTTTGGTGGGCTGAAGGAAGCATTTGCTTGGCATGGGTGATTCACACAGTTTTCTAAGGTGTTCTTCAATGTATTTCTAGTTTCTTTTTCTCTGCTGGAAGGAGTAAAATCTACATCTGAAAGATGAATGTTAGATTTAGAGAATGAAGCATGAATGCCAATTGAATGTTCTAGTGTCTCATCAATAGAGTTGTTATTGTCTTGCAAAATTTTAGAGTTTATGGAGATGGTATTGTGTAAAACACTTTCCAGATGGCTTGGTGAGATGTTTACCTCTTTTTCCTTGGTAAGGTGTGTATCTTTATTTGCAAACCTGCAGCACTTGCATTTATCTGCAATTTGTTTTGTTTTATAAATGGGTGACTTGTTACAATCGTGAGTTTCTTCTGTGTTCTCACTGAAAACTGATGCTGAAGATTCTAATTTTAGGTGCACTTTTTTGGAAAAAGAAAATGATACTCCTCTTCTGTGATTTGCATTGCTGAGATCTGAAGATGTTTGAGGTACCCGATTTCCAAACAAACAACGCCTGTCTGATTGTAATTGGTGTCGATTTGGCACGGTGGACCGCTGTTTATCGGAAATGATTCTGGGGAGATTTTTTCCTTTAAGGAGAAGAGCACTCTTCATGCATGATACCTTTCTGCCATTCTTAACGGGGAAAATTCCTTGCTGGAGTTGCTTTTCTATGGCTACCTTGGGGGCTTTGTATGCTGGTCCATTTCCAGAAACACTGTAAATACAATAAATATTTAAATGATTAAGATACTAGCTTTGGAATCATATCTACATATGAACATTTCATAGTGTTTCTAGGATGAGTTATTTTACAATTTATGAGCTACATCTTCTAAAATACAACCTTTTGTTGTGCTTATATAGCTTAGCATAAATTTTACAGTGGCTATTTCTAAAATGAATTGTTTACATGTAGTATTTTGCAATTACCAAAAAGCAATAGCAAGTGAATATCTTATGCTAGTGCTTCTAAAGCATTTACATCACAATATATGTCCTACAGAATCTATCAATCTTAGGAATACAGATTTAACATTATTTCACTAATAGTTTTCCGATCAGTGCATTCACATTAAATAAGAAATTAAATAGAATTAAAAGTCACTTTAAAAATATAAAAATATTTTTTAAATTTGCTTTTATGTATTAGTTCTAACATTTGATAATGTTTAGTTCCTCGGTTTTAAAATTCCCTCATATTCACTTACCTTTGAAACACAGTGATAAGTTCTTTCTTTATGACTTGTCAGTAATTTGACTAATTATAATAAATGCATAATAAAATAAGAGATATGTACAATCTATCTAAATGTCTTCAATGATTTTGAAATCTTTTCCTTTGCTTCTTACTCACCAAAATATTTTTTCTACCATTTCTGTATTATATGTTTTATGTTTTGAAGGTCTTAAAAGGTTATTTGTTCTACTGAGCTTCATTAGCAATTCATACAGAAGACTGAAAATACCAACACATATAAGAGATAAAATTCTTTCGATTAAAATTATCTGCCCTTTAACAATCTGTCTATATAACCTCTACTATAAAAAGGCTTCACTGGAAAGAAGACAATACAAATCACATCATTTTTCTTATTGTTTGCTTTGAACCGGCATTATTTTCCTTTTTCTTGTTCCATATGCTTGGATGTGTGTGTTTGCTTATTTCTAATTTTGATTTTTATTTTACTTTCATCTAGTGATTTGTTGCTTGAATATAAAATTCTAAGCCAACTGATATCTCTTCCATATGTTGCTCAAATTCTAATGTAGAGTAGTGCTTTCTGAGTCCTTGTCTAACAAATTCCTGTTGGTTTCTTTTACCCATTCTTTGGCAAATCAGCATAGAATTCAAGAGTCACAAAGTACAAATTTCATATACTTTGCTTCATTGTCTCTAGATGTATAGTATTACAGACATACTGAATTAACCTCCCTTTATTTATCTTTGAGATGAATCTGCTTGTGTGCCTGTATGCTTTTCCCTTTGTATAAAGTGTAAAAATATAAACACATATAATTTATTAGATTTGTTACATAAAGAGTATATATATTAATATGTATATATATGTATGTATAACATTTTAACAGAACATAGTTACAGGTTGATTAATTTGGGTGAATTTTTACTAGTAGTTCTTGGGCACTTTGAATTTAACTTTCTTCAGTTCAGATACATTTTTTTTCCTCTATTTATCTGATTATTGCTTCCTTTGGAATTTATGTTTTAAAATCATTGGTTCTCCTGAATATATCCTTTAGGTATTGATATTTATCTCAGTACTTTAGTCTGTCTTCAGTCTTTTTCTATAGTTCAGGTAGAATTTCTTTGATTTAATTTCTATTTTACTGACTCAATTTTTTTACAATATTCAATCTGTTTATAAATTATGACCGTATGGATTTTAACTTGCAAACAATAATTTTAGCCACTATTTAGTTTTTAATGATTTTAGAATGTCATGTCATTTAATGATTTTAATCATGTCATTTAATGATTTTTCATGAAAGTCATTTTAGAATGTCTCCTCTTCATGAATGGTTGTAATTTTAGAATTACAGAGTTCCTTTAAATCTTGTAAAAAACTAAATTTAGAAGTTTTTAAAAGCTGTATTCTCTTCCTTACAGTAACTCTTTCATAATGGAAATTTCTTATTCATCACATTAATCTCCTTTTTTTGAGTCATCTTTTTATGTTCATTAGGCATATTTAATAAAATGAATAGTGAGGAGCATTCTAAGATGGCATATAAGTTACTGAATGTTTCTTTCAAGCACAAAAGGAAGTAAGGAGTGTAGAGACTTTATTACAACATTATTGGTCTTTGAAAATGCCTCCAGCCTGCAGATAGAAGGAAGTGATCCAGAAACAGCTGCAGCATTCAACTTTGCCTTGGTACCAAAGAGATTATTTCCCATATTTGTAGCCACCATTTGGATTAAGTAGGAACTATACTTCTGGATTAAGTTAGTCTTCTCCAGAAGCTTCAATCAATCTGACATTATCACCTGTATGAAACTCATACAGGTTGAAATTATTCCACAAGTCTAGTGTATGGATACTATTGTTCTTCCTTTCCCAATTCCATTATTATGCAGTGATTTTAGTATTTATTATATCATGTTATATATATTATGTATATCCTTTTCTTAATAATAATTTTGCTGATCATCCTGACACTATTTTATTCATTTTCTTGCTTTACGCTAATCTAAATGTTCTTTTCTGTACTGCTATTTTATTTTACCATTTAGCTCTCTAATGTGCAAGCTTCTTCCTTTTACATTCCTTTAAATATTTTAAAATTTCTTTGCTCTTATTGTTTTTGTAATATACTGTTCTCTAGCTTCTTGTCCTTCATTCTAGTTCTCATTTTGCAATTTAAATTGCATTTATAATTATAGATTTTTCACAAGTTTTAACATTTTGTCCTTATTGTTAATCTTTGATACTTCTTACCTTTATTCTTTAAACTTTTTATCTTGTTGCTTTATAAACTTTAATTTGCTTTTTCTTAAATCAAAGTTATTCTCATTATTTTGGAAAATCCTGTTTTTATCTTTGTGGGGTTTTAAATTCTACTATTTTAAAGAAGTCTATGTATTATAACATTATTATAGCTTTAACTTTTTCTAGGATTATTCAGATATAACTAGAAAATAAAAATTGTATATATTCAAGGTACACAATGTGATCATTTGATGTATGCATACAAATTAATTTATATATCTATCATACACGTAGTTACCATTTTGTGTGAGATAAGGACACCAGATTCACTCTCTTGGCAAATTTCAAGTAAACAATATAGTATTATTAGCGAAGATAATCATGCTCTACATTAGATCCTCAAAACTTTTCATCTTACATCTGAAAGTTTGTAGACTTTGAACAATACCTTCAAATTTCTCCCACCAGCCAGCCCCTGGAAACCACATTTGCATTCTCAATGAAGCTTCAATTTTTATAGTTTTCTCCACATTTAATGTTTCCCTCACTTCTTTGGAACTTTCTTTAGTTTTTAAAATATTTTCTTACTTATATTAAAATAATGGTTAATAAAAAGTCTGTGGAGTTTGGCTTTTAATTCTTATTGATTGATTATCCATTCAAATTGTTCTCCAAAAATTCTAATACTCTGCAGCTTAACGAATGCAAAATTTTATTCTCTCCTGTTCAAAAAGCATCCTTTCCAAACAGAAAAACATATCAAAACAACATGATTTTTTAAAATGGTGTCATTTTTTAATGTTCCATTTTCCAGCTCTTATATGAAAAACTTCATAAATATAAGAGCTAGATAATGTGGAACATTAAGAAATGACACCATTTAAAGAATTCACAGTCTCAGAATCAATGGCCCTAAAATTTTTAAATTTTGGAAAAATTTTAATATTAAGATGTACTTAAACTTATATATATAAGAAGTTCACATACAGAGAGTGACTATCCCCTCATCCCCATATAATAACTGATATTGCTGAGGAAACAGGTTGGCTGGAACTAGTTAAGAGACGGTCAAATTTGACGACCCTTTATAAGATCTATTACTATTCTTTTGGCCATCATTTTATGCACTACCAGTAAATTCACCTCTCTTCTCCCAAAGGGTCACGGAAGAATTTTGTTACCTGGATCATACTATTTAGAAGCCCTCATTATGAGGAAAAAGGGCAAAGAAAGATTGTCTGGGAGAAGAGTAATGCCAATGATTTTTTCTTTTTCTTTTATTTTTAACTTTCACTTGTCAATTCACCTACCAAAATAAAGTATTTTTTAAGTGACTTTCCTTCAGCCATGAGGCTATTTAAGCAGAGAGAGCAATTGGCTAGGTGGCAGGTGATGGGTAGTAGAAGATAAAAAAATATTTTCCTAGTTTCATCCTCTATATCTAGAAAGCTGAACCCAGAGAGCTTGCCTATTTTATCAAATCACCAAAAGGAGTGGTTAGGTTTGTGATTGTTTAGTGAATAAGGCTTACAGAGGGACAGCTGAAACTTAATATATTGAGTGGACCTTTTTATTTGGAAGAAACTTAATGGGTAGCTCTGGCAAACTTAGAACTTCTAAACAAACCATCATCATCATCACCATCACCATTACCACCACCATCAGCAAGCCACCTCTGATTTTTTGTTATTTACGCCAGAGGAAAATATAGAATGGGTAAGTAGAAATGTAGAAGTGTGACAACTTTCATAATAACAAACAACCAAAATTATATTTATTAAGACTATTTAGATTTGCTGTTGTGGCCTTAAGGGACCTATCTAAAGATGTCTATCTATGGTCGAACTTGTACCATTTGTTACGATCTGATTTACTGTGTCTCATCATTAATCACTCCAGGAATTGACTCTTTCCCTAGATTGTTTCCTGCATGCTGCCCTAACAACAATAGAACATTTCCTTCTAAGTCCTATTTTGGCAAGGACTGTCTGAGTTCTCAATGACAATATGTTTGAACAACATATTGTAAGTCCCTCATTGTGTTGACTGTAGAAAGTTCAGTAGCAAATGTATATGTTGCTTCTAGCATTGTATAATACCCCAGACCATGCATTTTTGTATTAACCTTACTTCTGACTACGTGTTGTATCTTTATTTTGTCTTCATACTAAATTTCTCATTTATTTTTAATATGATTTTTATGTATTTTCATAAATTAATTAGATTATTTTAAGAGTTACAAATACATAAATACATGCAAGTTGAATATTAATTGTATTTTTACTCATAATTGGTCCTACAAAAATAAGTGTTTCCTTAAAATTACCTTTTAAGTCTAATATTTTGTGGTAACTAATTGAGCTACTCACTCCTGTTTATTACATATTATTTCCATTTAAGCAACAGGGGTTTAAATTCTGGCACAGAGGCATAAATTTCACAATTCACTAGGTTGCTGTCAAACACATTAATTAGCTACATTAGTGTTTTACATTATGATTCATATGCACACAAATCACAATCTGCAAATTTAATTGCATTCCAGGTAACAACTTTGAAACATCCAGTGGTTCCAAGCTTTTGTAAAACTGCTATTTTTCAGCTACAAAAATGTTGTTATATTATAATTATCAATTTAAGTGGCACTGTGTGGTAAACTTAACTGCATTAATTACATCTTGTTTGTCAGCCAGACAATGATCGTGTTATTTATACTCCACTCAGGTATGTACAGGGAAATGTTCAGAAGACGTATTTTCCACCCCCTAAGTTGTATTGTTAATTATGGTTTTTAAAAGTATTATTATAAAATTTAGAACATATATTAAGAAGTGATATTAATCCATTTATTCAACTGGATAGAATAAATGCTAATGTATTTGAATCATTCTGGGATCATTTCATTATAGGGTACATTAAATTAACAATATTAGGAAAGAAAAATATCAAAGGCCAAAAGTAATTAATTTATGTATGTTTAACTATATTTGCCCTTCAGACATATCTGTTAGTTAGTTATTATTTGTTTACATTGTTACAGTAGATTTGCCTTTAAAATTTCCCAATAGGTTTTGAAGAGAGTTTTGAACCATTCCAGACACCTTTAATTCTTACCATTCAGATTGCTGCCTTAACTCAGCCAGCTGATGGAGTCGTTTAAGTGCTTTTTCTTGTTTCTTCTCATCTTTCCATGACTTAGAAGCTACATTCCGAGCAAATTCCCTTTGCTTTAATTCTTTCAGTCTCTGTGGAAAAAGAAGAAAAACCAAAAAGGTACTATAAATAAATAATATATTCTTTTCCATCCACAAGGCTCCGTATTATTCTTTATCCTAAGTGCAGAGGTAACTTTCTGGACAGAAAGAGTAAAAGTATCTTCTCCATTGTTGCTATTCTCTGCTCCAAGACACATTTAGCAGATAAATGTAGTTGTCAACCAGGTTATTTTTCCAAGCTTGTCACAGTCACTGCAAAAATGTGTTGCAAAGCTGGGCCCCAGGCCTTGCTGGTATCACTCTGGCTATGCAACTATAATAATCTGTGTGCCTATAAAAACACAAATGGGAAAAAGATGCAATATATGAATGAGTATGAAGGGAGGCAGGTTATGAGATGCATGTTCCTCCACCCACCTGCCCCTCACTTGTAAAATTGATTCTATTAAATACACTGGGTGGGATGAGCTTGTTTCAGGAAAGAGCATCTGTTACTGTGAAAGATTTAGTTCAAAGCTCTAAATGTGATTTTGAATTCTATTTTTTTGGATGGAGATATTTATCAAATACATATTTCTATATTGTATCCAGGAAGACAGAAAAAAAATGAGTCAGGGATTTAAACTCAGAATAGAGGCATGGCCCTGCTTGACTTAAATTCACCCACCACTTATTTTAATTAATATTTTCTCTAAAACAATTGACTTACATGCAAGTAAGACCTCTTCTTTAGAATCTGCCACTAAGCACAGCTAATGATATTGAATGAACTGAGAAACAGCCAAAATCAAATGAACCTCTTGAAGTTTAGGGCTTAATCCTGAATTGGAAGTGTATTTAAAGATTATCCTCTTAACTCATACAAAGTGATTTGAAACAGTCTAAAATATGTATCTGTTGAAATTATTTTCATTTCCCATATTAAGTATAAGAAATGTTTCCCAAGTATGGAGAAAACTACATAGTTATCATGTGAGGTAATAATACTGTAGCTGACTGTTACTCAGAGCAAATGCCAAAACCTTTCATTAGCTTCATTCTTTAAAGGAAACATGTTCATGGTAGACAGTGGTCAGATAACTACATCTAAGCTAAGGATTTGAAGAAGGCAGATCGGTCTTTCAAAGAGAGAATATTCTGAGCACAAAGAACAAGAACCTCACAGAATTAGAAATAGCTACAGGGAGAATAGTGGACTCAACCTGAATTCAATTTTTGACAAATACTTCAAATCCTTCTAAAAATAGAAAATTTCAAGAAATATAATTATGCTCTATATGTTATCAGAAAAAAAAATCAATAGTTCTCTGGAAATTATAAAGAACAGATGATCTGAGCATTAAAGAATGGATACCGTTGGTCAGAAGACAGGAAGAAAGGTTTATGAAATCCTTATTGCTACGTACCCTGCTACTCACTTCCTCAGACCCTATGTACTTGGAAGCCTAGTTCTTAGAGTGAGGCCTTGTCTTACAAGCAAAGACCTTTTGGAAATTGTCCTACATGATTTAAGAACACACATAAACTATAGTTCAACTGTGTCAGAGAGAGAAAATTGCTATTGGAAAAAAAAAAAAGAGGGTTTTTTAATACTGTTAGTACTGAATATAAATACTCCATATTATATTTATTTAATATTAGGTATTACCAGCAAATAAAACTTGTGTAATGCAGAGGAGGAAATTGATTCGTTTACTCACAGCAATTGACACTTGACTCATTTTTGGAATCATGTTTGAAAATTTGGGGTACCTCTGTTTCTGTTATTAGCCTTCTAGATTCCAGAACTATACTTTTATTTTTGAGTTATAGAAATGATTGAGAATTCTGTACTGTTTATCTAACAACAAATATTGTTAATTGCTACTATGTTAATCCTTATTCTTACTATGAAATGTAAAAATATACAAATCAACAAATCAATTTTTTTCCCTTCAAGGAAGACAGACAAGTGGTTACACTTCTATAAGATAGAGTAGAGTTTCTTAATAAGGGTGCATACAATGTGCTTTGGAAATATACAGGAATAGTGAAAGATTAATTGTGTTTAGGAAGTTTGCAAAGTTAAAATGTTTTTAAGGAGCACAGAAAACTGGAAGAAGAGATTTTGTTTAAAGACATCTAGCCACAAATTTGGTTTAGTCAGTTCTGAGTGCTCAAGTTTAAGCAGAGAAAAAACTCCAGATATCTGCCTTAAGTTTTCAGTGTACTGAACAATGCATCTGTGTGAGGAAACTGTTCCAGTTTAGGGGAAAAAAAGTCATCTGAAAGAATGTAAGAACAACAGTGTCTAGCATTCATATAAGGCCAGGAATAGTGGTTGTTTTCACTAACAAAACTGGAAAAAATAATAGGATATTGAATAGATAATTCAGAAAAGTCATGCTTCAGTAGAGAATAATTAGTCATAGATTGAGTACTACTTTGGAGTTGCTTAAAAAAATCATAAAAGCAAGAAATAAAAGTATAAAACTGACTCCAAGTAACTTAACTGAATCATAGTACTAAACACTAGGATATGTATTGCAATACAAAAAAAAATGAGAAAAATGAATATCTTGTATCCAATCAAATATTATCAGGATGTAATAGCAGTTGAAACTGGTCTGTAAGTTAAAGAAAAATATACTATAAACTCTACAGCAGCCATTAAAATGATAAAGTGTTCTAGCTAGGAGGACAACAAAGGAGATAAAAGAACATCATTAAATGTACTCAGTGCAAGAAAATGCAAAAAAAAAAAAAAAAAAAGTAAGGTATACTGGACAATTATAAAATAAATAGCAAGATAATAAATCAAATCTAAACATAATAATAATATTAAATGTAAATGGTCTAAACACCAAAATTAAAAGAGAGTATTCTTTGGATAAAAATGTGAGTTCATCTCTGTTGACCACACAAACAAGCTTTTTTAAAAATGAGGACAAAAGAGTTAAAAGAAAAGAATGTAAGAACATGTATTATGTCAACACGAGTCAAAAGAAAGCTAGGAGGGCCATATCACTGTAAGACAGATTAGATCTCAGAGCAAAGATATTTTACCAGGAATAAGGAAGGTTTCTTTATAATGATAACAGAGCATTAAAATACACAAAGCAAAAATGGATACCTACCGCATGGAGGAAATAAATGGACAATTATTAAAGAATGTTTCAATGTCTTGCTATTAAACATCAACAAAATACTAATTTCAAATCCAATACTTATGGAAAACGTTACACCAAAGTGATTGTATCTCTTATAAAAGACCCTTCCAAAAGTGTATTTGTCTGATGAAAAGAAGACTATCAATCACTGGAAAGATGGGGAGGATTTCTAAGAATCCAGAGGCCAAAATTTGCCAGCCTCATGTTTTGGCTTAGCCCAAATTTCTATTTTTCTCCCCTTGTTCTGACAAGAACTCATTTATTTCAGCCATGGCACATACAATGATTGTCAGTAACCTTCCTCCATTTAAAGAGAACATAATCCATTTGGGAAGAAAAATGTTCTTTGAGGGTGTGTAATTAATCAGCTCTTATTGAGAAGAGACAGCACATGGCATACATATTTCAGAAAAAAAAATGCTACTTTACACGTTTACAAATAATAATGGGAAAACAAATACGGTATTGTGCAAAGTAGGTGGTAAAGAGTGAATCCGCTTTATTACCGTATAGTCTACATAATAAAGAGGTAGCATAGGTAAGATTACAAGAATACCTTGCATTCTTATCCTTTAATGATAAAGGTAGATGGCCATAAAGTAATGAAAACTAAGCAACACAATTATGATACAAGTGTGTTGTATTATTAAATACATTTTTGCATCTATTTAAAAGGATCACATTATTAATTTCTCTTTATGTAGTGAATAACTTCTATTTGTTTTATTGTGTTAAACTTCACATTCATAGGATGAATATTGCTTGTTTTTTATATTAACATTTTGAAATATTGATGGATTTGATTTGCTAACATTCATTATGAACTTTGCATCTATGTTCATGTGTGATATTGGCCTGTATTATCTTTCAAACTCCTTGTGTCATTCCAGTGTGGTTTTAGTCAATTCAGATTGCTCTAACAGAATACCATAGACTGGGTGGCTTAGCTAACAAACATTGAATTCTAACAGTTCTGAAAGCTGGGAAGTTCAAGATCAAGGTGCCTGCAGACAGATCCAGTGTCTAGTTATGAAATTCTTCCTGGTTTGTAGATGGCCATCTTCTTGTTATATCCTCACATGGCCTAGGCCAGAGAGAAGAGGCAAGCTCTCTTGTCTTATTTGTAAGGGCACTAATCCCACTCATGAAGGCTGCACCCTCATGTCCAGTCACCTCCCAAAGAGTCTACTTACTTACTAATGCTATTATATTGGGGGTTGAGGGAACATAAACTTAAGTCTATAAGTACCATGGTAACAATGGCCTCATAAAATGAGTTGGAGAATGTTTTATCCTCTATTTTCTAAAAGACTGTGCATAAAATTAATATTACATATTCCTTAAATACAAGAGTCACCACTGAAGCCATGTTTTCCTGGAGTATTTTTTTCTGGTTGTTGTTGGAACTTGTTAAATCATGAATTCAGTTTATGCAAGATATATAAGACAAAACAGAATTTTTATTCTTTCTCAGTGAGTTTTGGTAATTTGTTTCTTTCAAGATTGTTTTACATTTTATTTAAATTAGCTTTTTTATTGTCAAAACATTGTTCCAAATATTTTCTTTTTATTCTTTTGATATTTGAAGCATCTAATGCAATGTTACCTCATTTAAACCTGATATTGGCAATTTGTGTATTCTATATTATTCACCAGTCTTCCTAGTCATTATTGATTTTATTAATATTTTAAAGGAACCAGATATTATTTAGTAGTATGCTTTCAATAACATGTAAATATTCATACATTTTCTAGATATCTTATTGTTAACAATTTCTAATTTAATACTATTTTGGTCAGAGAATATATTCTGCATGATGTCAGGTCTTAGACAGTTACATAAATGTTTTTAAGATAGTTGTAGAAATGTTTATAATGACA